CGCTCGCAGTAAAAAAAAAAAAAAAAAAAAAAAAACTCTCAAAAAAAATTTCAAAATTTTAAGTCTATTATTATAGACAACAAATTATTCTTATATACACACACTATCATAAGCATGAGAATGATCAGAAAGATCAAAGTAAACAAACGAAGTATGATAATGAGCTAACTTCAAGGAGACCAAGCAATAATATTAAATTTCTCACAATTTAGAAAAACTTGTTTATATATTTTCTTTCTTTATTTACTTATTCCATAGAAAGAAAAGACAGGCACAATCAATACGGTCTTCACAGCATGATCCACCCCCTGCCTCAGTCACCCTAAATCACAGGCATGTACACGCATACCTGACCTACAGGGAGATGATGGATGTGACCCAGGACCTTCCCATATGACTTCACCATTATAGAGCATTGCTTTACTGCTGTGTCATGTATTTTTAAATAGACAACAGTGAGTTGAAAATTCCTAGGACATAAACACTCCACAGAATACATGTAAAATAGTGATATCAAAATTTTATTGTAAAATGTCAGTATTTGAGTCTAGCAGGCAAGGTGGTGGTTGAGGTGCTAGACTCTCACATGACCAGTTGTGGTTTGGGTCCCAGATCTGGTCCCAGATCTGGTAGCTTGCTTTCTCACTTTCCTTCTCTTTCTCTCTCTCTTCTCTCTCTCTCTTTCTCTCCCTCTCCCTCTCTGGTGAGTTCGCAAGCCATGCAGCACATTTAAAATAATAACAATGGTAAATAAATTTAAATAAAATAATTATTAAAAAATCAATATTTACATTATATTGAATATTATAGTCTATTCTATTATTTAAACTTTAAATGATAACTTTTAGATGCAAGTTAAAGTTATAAAAGGGGCATATAAATTTTTTTAATTCTCTTAGAAAATACATACAAGGTTTTGAAGATCACTGATTGGAATTAATCTGAGAGGAAACAAGGGAAGAGAATACAATATTTTCTTGAAGCCAAGAAAGAGAAATTAAATAATCCTGGAATGGGGCTTGGGTAGAAATACTCAAGGGAAGAGAATACAATACTTTCTTGAAGTCAACAAAAAATTAAGGATTAAATAATCCTGGAAGGGGGCTTGGGTAGAAACACCCATTGATACAAATATTTGGATGGCTAATGTCATAGGGATGTGGGATTTTGACTAAAGCACCAATGTCATTCCTTAACAGGACTGGTTGTGTGGGCACATAACCTGCACAGTTACAGTGAGCCACACAGAAGAGTCTTAACGTTTTGCTTAATACTCTGCTATTCTCATCATGAAATTCGTAATGCATTTATCTTTGAACACATGTTTTGTATGTGAAATCTGATGGTACAATGGTGTACGTGCATCTTCATCACAATTATTTGCTGTATTACCCACATAAATCTTTCATCCTACTCCCTGAGCATAGAATTCTGGTAGATCCACACAAGTTGAAATTCTAGGAGACCAATAGAAGTAACAAGAAAAGGAGATAAGGAATGAAGAGGAAAAGTAAAAGACCAGAATGGAATATAAGGACCAGCTCCATAGTGAAATTGTTAAGCACTGTGAGTGCATATGTGTGTGACCCAAAACCTGAGGGGATGGAGAAATGGAGAAAAAGGATCGAAGCATGACCAGGCCCAACTAGGGGATGATTTCTCTCTCTCTCTCTCATATATACATATGTACATCTTGTATTCTAAAAGAAAAAAAAAGAATGAAGAATAAAATATATAGGCTAGGCTAGATATTTAATTTCTACTTTCCTTTTAAAGTCATTGAAATTTTCTTTACTAATTTCTTTCTCATTTGTCAACTACTCTTTCTATTTCTCAGCAGTGCCAAAGATCAAACCCCAAGAGGAGGCTGCTTATGTTTTCACACCTGAGCATCACAGAGAGTCAATAAATAAATGCATTTACCAAGCCCCTTCATCAGAGGAGGCCAGAATACATAATCCAGATGAAGGAATTCAACGAATCCAGAAAACGGAAAAGGGATCAGACATTTCAACATAGATTACACATTTAGACTCTTTTATATCTCATACCACACCCACCTGAACCTGCAGAGAAATACAACTTTTACTTCCTTAAACAAAACTGCATTCAAATACATACCTCCTGCTAAGTCTTTGTATGACTACACACTACCACAGCTTCCCACGCACATAATATACCTTTACATAGAGCTCCAACTTCAGTGAACTCAACCTTCAAATGCATGCCTGTCATACAGGTAAGTTTTCTGATCATTTCTCAACCACTATATTTGGTAAACAAACTCAAGAATTAAGTTACTGAGGTCTAGATCTGAGAAGGAAACTCAAAGATTCAGTTATGAAAAGACAACCCTGAGAAAATTTTGTGAGGATGCCTCTGTTGTGAACCCAAGTGGTACTCCACTCAATGAGCCTTTCCCATTGTTTCACAGAAGGAAAAATTTAAAATCTATTCTTGTGATCTTTCTCATCCTCACATCCATAGAAGCTCACAAGTAGTAACCATCTTATAGAAATTTTCTTTAGAGGACAAGAATAGGCCAGGAAGGGGGAGGTAGAAGGAGGATAGCTGTGATCTCAGCTCACCAGACTCCATCGTCCAAGCTTTTATCCAGTAGTGTCTCAGGCCAGTGCCAAGGTTGAGCCTCAGATCAGCTGTATCATCATAGAAAATCTTAACACAGATAGGAAATAAGGCCTTAATTCTGTTTAAGGACTTCAGATAATAAGTAAAGTCATTGCAGCATTAGCAACTGATATTAGTCAAAATGCCTTGTTTGAAAGAGATAGAAATCCAGGTATTGGTCACAGTAATAAGCAATAGAATGAAATAAGAACACCAAACTGAGTCAGAAGATATAAGACCTAATTTCATTTCTGTAAATGATGTGGTTATGATCTAAATCACATCGGTTCACCCTTGACATTATTGTCTAATCTTCCAATTTTTTAAGTGTATAAATAACTATTACACTTTCTTTCCTCCAAAGTAAATGTTGATAAGAGATACAGATCTCATTTAGTAAAAAAAAAAAAATAAAATGAAAAACAAGGGAGAAATTATTTGGGGCTTCCAAACTTATAATTCCATAATATTAATCTTTACTCAGCTACAAAATCTTGTAAAGTTAGTATGCCAGGTGATGCCGTTCTCAACTTAGAGATGAAAAACTGAGGCACAGAAAGGTTTTTTTGTTTTCCCCAATGCCATGTAGTAAGCAGGCAGAAAAGCAGAGGATGCCTTCCTATTTGAGACTGACTGAGATGTAAGAGATTTGTTCAACTAATCTTGTTACAGAACCAAAACTAAGACTCAGGTTTCCTGTCATCCTTCTCAGAATTCTTTTAAGTATTTAATATATTACTGAGAGAATGTATATACACTGGCTATCCCTCTACAGAAAAAGGAGATTCCCTTTCCAGGATTTCGTTATTGTTGGCAACATAGTACACTGAGAAAACAGAGGATATTCCCCTTTGTCTCTCTGTCTCCATGAGTACTTGACATTCTGGTCTGACCACCATATCAAGCCATTACACTGGTGTGCTTGTGCCCCTAACAGCTGTCTTTGCCATCGTTGAAAGTGTTATCTCCTCAGCAATCATATCCAATTTATTGAGTTGTCAGAAAAGTCACGATGCATCTTGGATAGAAAAATACAGAAAAAATACATCATGACTTTTCCGACAGCCCAATATTTCATGTTTTCTTCTGTTATACCCCATAAGTATTCAGATCACCACATATATTCAATTATAAGATATATAAGCATTTTCAAGTTTCCTAGCTTCTTCTTAAGCATTTCAAGTAAGCTATAAAAAGAAGATACCTGGTATATGATGGGTCTTCAAAAGTTAATAGAAAATGTATGTTATGAAAGAACTGTGTATACATTTCAAAGCATTTTTGCAACAAAATAAACTTATACTTTAATTCCATTTTCCACAAATTTTTTGAAGTATCCTCATATATCTGGAAGATATGCTACACAGAGAATAAAGTGAATACATTAACATATCATTCAGTCACAAGCAATGCTATGTTACTAATAACTATCAGAATTGAGTCTTCTGTGAATACAGATCGAAATTTCATGGCAATACCAGTTGTAGCAATATAGGGGTTACAACTGCATAAAGAAACAGTTCTATCCCAGTGGGGCTTTATTAGATAGTGGAAGAATGAAACAAAATAAATTTAAAGATTGCTAAGCATCTGATCAGAAAAAAAACAGAATCTGAGAGGCAGGGAAACTTGCTGTAGAGGTTAAAAAAATTTAAGAAGAGAAAATACAGTAAGACGAATCCATAGGCATGAAAAAAGGCATGAATGAAAAGAAAAGAAAAGAAAAGAAAAGAAAAGAAAAGAAAAGAAAAGAAAAGAAAAGAAAAGAAAAGAAAAGAAAAGAAAAGAAAAGAAATATCCCTGGACTTGGGTAGACTAAAGGTCAATAAATGATGTGTAAACTGTGATGAGAGCTAAATCTAGAAGGGTAAGTTTGGACAGATAAATAGTTTAGCACAATGAATATAGAATTTAAGACATCATTGTTAAATTGAGGAATTAGCAAGTTTAAAATGCATTATATGTGGAATAGAGTCTTTTCAGATTCCTGAACAGATAAAAAGCAGTAACACTTTTCTCAGTCTAAAGAAGATCCTTTCATAGAAAGATCATCTTATGTGAATCAACTAAATCTTTGATGTTACAAGAAAGGCATACCATCACACTTTGGATAGAGCCCCTTATTTGCCGAGAAGGATGTCAGTTTTCAACACCAGCGGTAACAGTCTCCCAGCCACTTTCTTCCTCACAGGGATCCCAGGACTGGAGTCTGTGCACTTCTGGATTGCCATCCCTTTCTGTGCCATGTATCTGATAGCACTGGCTGGAAATGCTGCCCTCATCCTGGTCATTGCCTTTGACACTGCACTTCATGCACCCATGTACCTCTTCCTTTGCCTCCTCTCACTCACTGACCTGGCTCTCAGCTCTACCACCGTGCCCAAGATGCTGGCCATTCTGTGGCTCCATGCCGGTGAGATATCCTTTGGTGGATGCCTGGCCCAGATGTTTTGTGTCCATTCTATCTATGCCCTTGAGTCCTCCGTTCTTCTTGCCATGGCCTTTGATAGATATGTGGCTATCTGTAACCCACTGAGATACACCACCATTCTCAACCATACTGTCATAGGCAGAATTGGCCTTGCTGGAGTATTCCGCAGTGTGGCTATTGTCTCCCCCTTCATCTTTTTGCTGAGGCGACTGCCCTACTGTAGACACCATATCATGGCACACACATACTGTGAGCACATGGGCATCGCTCGACTAGCCTGTGCCAATATCACCGTCAATATTGTGTATGGTCTGACTGTGGCTCTACTGGCCATGGGTCTGGATTCCATCCTCATTGCCATCTCCTATGGCTTTATACTCCGTGCTGTTTTTCGTCTTCCATCCCGTGATGCCCAGCACAAAGCTCTGAGTACCTGTGGATCCCACCTCAGTGTCATCCTGGTTTTCTACATTCCTGCCTTCTTCTCCTTTCTCACCCACCGCTTCGGTCACCACAGAGTCCCCAAGCATGTGCACATCTTTCTGGCCAATCTCTATGTGCTGGTACCTCCTGTTCTTAATCCCATTATCTATGGAGCTAGAACAAAAGAGATTCGGAGTCGGCTTCTAAGACTGTTTCATCTGAGAAAAACTTCAATATAATTTCTGAGAAGTTCAAGATAAGAAAAAGAAGTGGGTATGATGGCTGTATAGATGCATTAAGATGGATGAGAAGTATGATATGAGAGGAATGAGTTTACATGGTAGGAAGCTCTGGCAAAAAGCACAGCAGCCTAATGAGGTGGAGATATCAATGATTACACTGAACTTACCATTTTCTGAGGCTCCTTGAAAAACTCTATATAGACCATAAACGTGATAATATTTTTACTTTTGTCTCAAGAATGATGATGACTTACTAAGAAGCAAGTGGCTCCTGGTCTTGAGAGAAATCTGAATCTCATAGTCCTTTGTGTGTTGAAGTGAAAAGAAAAAGAACAGTAAAGAGTGAATTTTAATCTGAATGATGCCACTTTGGATAGTGATTAAAAGCACAAAGTATGGTCACAGTGTCTGGGTTTGAATCCTGGCTCCTTCACTTACTAGTTTTATGACCTTGAGCATGTGGCTAGATTCTTTTTTGGCTGACTGTTAAATAGGGGTAATGATAATATCTAATGCGTACTGTTGTGATGACAAATAAATGAGTTAATAAATGTTAGAAAACATAAGATAGTACTTGACATGTAAGCTACTGAATAAATAAATACAAGATTGAAAAGTCTTGTAATTTCCCTAAACATTATTGGTCAATTTATTTAGGCTATCTAAGTATTTTTTTTTTTACATGATCTCACCTCACAGGATTATGGTAATAACTATTAGGTTTTCAAGAAAGTCGTGTCGTATTTTTCTATGTCTCTCTATGCAAAAATGTGTCACAACTTTCCTGTTGTGACCCAATATATTACATAACAGTTCTATAATATTTAGACAGTGCTTGAGAAATGGTTAGTGCTTAATGAAACTGTATTTTCTCTCATTTCTCCTCCTGTAATGCATTTGGAAGTCCTTTTCATCTTAGCTATAAATCCTTATGGAAGATTAAGGGGATGCAGTTGTAAATTATACAAACAACTCCATTAGTACTCCTCTATGTATTCAAAAATATTGGTATATTTTCATTTTAAATTTTCATTTTAAATATTTTTATTTTAAGCCTGTGGTTCAGAGGCTAATAGTCTAAGGTTTTATCACTTATATGGACAACATCTCACATATTATACAGTATTTTATAATGAAGAAAATATAACATCTGGGTTGGCCCCATAGGCCAGTAGTTAAGAGAGCCCGATCTCATATAGGGTGCCTGTAATTGGAATCCTATATCTGAAGGCTTAGAAAATATGCCAGGCATGTGTGCATGCATGCCCAAAATCTTGACAAGATGGAAAAATGGAGAAAGGATTGTGGCATAATCATGCCCCATTTGAGAGAGGTGCTTTTCTTTCTCTTCCCCTCCTCTCTCTCTCTCAGTCTCTCTCTGGCAAGCACACATACCCTCTGGCAATTAAATTAAAATATACATGAGATCTAGGTCCAGATGGACTTAAATATTGGCTTCCTAATTTATGAGCTGCATGACTAAGGCATCACATTTAACCTCTTCAGAGACTTAGTAAAATATTTATTATATGTCTAAAGCAAAGCAAGCATTTAATGCAGATTGTCAGAAGTTGGTAGTATTTAGCTAATAATTTTTAAATATATAAAGGTAAGGTATTTTTTAATATCTACTTGACAAAATAAGCTGTAGTGTTTATTTGCTTCTAATTGATTACCATTACCACTTTAAAATTTCATGACAGTTGGCATTGTATCTGCACCTTACACAAAAACAATCAATAAAAATTATGTGAAATGTATTATGGGTCATACTGACATGTATCATATTCTTTGTTGAATTAATGAATAAATATGTGATGTTTTAACTATACTATTGTTATGTGTAAGGAATACAGGAGGTCTAGCATAGTGTCTGACACAGAGCAGATATTCAGCAAGGTGATTTTGTTTGTCTATTTATATTACTCTGAGGCTGTTTAGACAGGGCACATCCAAAAGGATCAGAACAGAGTTAAAGAAGATTTTTTGTTCTTTTTTTTTTTTTAATTCAGGAAAGCAATTAGAGAAAAAGGATCATGAAGTCTACAGTTGAGATAAGAGGGGAAGGTCAACCCTGGTTACAGAGACCTCCAAGTCACACTATATAGGCAAATGTATGCACCAGCACCAGTCATGTCTTGACTCAGAGAAGTTCAGAGAGAAAGACAAGAGGAATGGAACAGAGATTGGAGAAGAAGGAGACAGCTGAGGAATTAATTACAGAGCTAGAGGAAGTGGATGTGATTAGATTTCCAGGAGGCCTTAAAAGCCAGGCCCAAATCAGAAGACATGAGAAGCCCTTAAAAATTTCAGAAATTAATCTGTACTGGAACAGTGGCAAATCAATCCCAATCAGTTGTAACTGAAGTAAAATGAGGTTGGTGGTTAGCAAAAGGAGACAAGATTTCCTTAGATGATACTTCTCTGACTTCCACAACCAGTATTCAGTATCAGGCTTCCCTAAACAGGCATACTATGTCTTTATATATGTACTCAAAAAAGAAATTCTACTTTTGAGGATAGACAGTCTTACCAGTGCTCGTAATTTAGTTTTCTGTGTGGACCTGATCTTGCTAAGACTGTTACCTGAGAGTCTTGAGTAACTGATCTCCTGTACCACTGTGAGATAAATAGGTGCAATTATATAAATAATGTCATAAAAAATAGGCACACTTGCCAGATTGCAGAGAAGAGTTTACAGTAAATCTATTTCAGAATTCTGCCTCACTGAAACCAGCAGTTGTCGTAATGGCTATGTTGTTAGACTCCCATGTAGTTGACCATGGTTTGAGTCTAGGACTCGGTGGCTTAAACTCACGCCAGGCATATGTGCGTGCATGGCAAAGATCCTGAGAGGAGACTGGAGGAGAAGGAGTTGTGGTATGACCATCCCTCCTGGGAGCAGGGGGAATTTCTTGCTTTCTCTCTCTCTCTCTCTCTCTCTCTCTCTCTCTCTCTCTCTCTCTCTGTGTCTTTCTATAGGGAGTGCACCATGCACCCTATAGCAAAAAACTTAAAAAAAAAAAAAAATTCCTGCCTTACTAAGTACGTGCTTCTTTTTTTCCCTAATGTTTTCCCTAAGTCTAGCTGTTTCCCTTTGTGCTAAGGGAGATCATCTATCTGAACACAATTTTAAGTGATTCAGCACTGTCCAGACCCTGAAGAACCACCCTGTCAGATTATCTCCAATGCCACAATGCATTTCCAGAACCAAATTTCACTCCACCCCACTACTCCAAGGTATTTGTCTCTTTAATAAAACACACATACACACACACACACACACACACACACACAGGTTCTTGTATATGTATGGTTCAAAAAGTAAATTCAATTCTTCTTTTTGAACCCGGCGGGGGGGGGGGAACTCTTCTTATTCTCGTTCTCTTCCCTTCACTCCAAAGTCATGTTATTTTATTTTATTTCAATGTTCTAGTACAATTCTGAGCATCATGAATTCTGAGCATTGATGTGTTATTATTATAAATGTACTATAGATAATTAATTCATTTTAGTTTGGATTATTCTCTGATATTTTCCTCTACAATTGAGAATCTAAACTACTCAAGAATTGAAACATAATCTTTCTCCATCTGTGTCACGAAAAGATAGGATACACTTTCTGCACAGTGATTTTAGAAAAACTGGTTGATTTTATTGTGAAATAGGATAAAAGGAAAAACACAAACTTTGGAATCCAAGCACTCAAGTTCTTATATCTTCATCAGTCACAGACTGAGAAAAGTACAGGCCCTCAAGGTGGCCCCATAGCCTAGTGGTAAATGGAACCAAACCTCACATGGATGACTGCAGTTTGAATCCCAGCTCCAGCAGCAGGAAAAACATACCAGGCACGTGTCCAAAATCCTGACAGGATAGAGAAACAGAGGAGAAAGAGAGTCCTGTCTCAGTGCTGCTGTTTTCTCATGAAAAGTAAAAAAAAAAAAATCTTCAGAAGAATGTGCAAATAGGAAACAATATATTACAGTATAATAAGCAAGAGGAACTCAGTAATATGGCATCACCCAGGGAACACAGTAGATTGAAGAGATCAAAAAGAGCACGACTGGTTGGTGCTTTCTCTTCTTCTTCTTCTTCCTCCTCCTCCTCCTCCTCCTCCTCCTCCTCCTCCTCCTCCTTCTTCTTCTTCTTCTTCTTCTTCTTCTTCTTCTCTCTCTGTCTTTCCTCCTCCGCCTTCTTCTTCTTCTTCTTCTCTCTCTGTCTCTCTGTGTCTCTGTCTTTCTCTGGTAAGCATGAATGCCTTCTGGGAAAAATGAATAAATAAACCTTCACCATAGTTGCTTCTTCACCTGTATAACTGAAAATTTTGTCTTAGTGTTTAAAAGGATCAATGTGGCTGCTATTTCAAGCAAAAAGATGGAGGGGGTAAAGACAGTAGCAAGGATACTGTTTAGAATGCAATTATAGTGATTTTGTCAGAGTAGTTGCAATGGATATAATAAAAGTGGTCAACTTCTTGGTATACTTTGAAGCAGAGACCATAGCATTTAACAGAAAGTGGATGAATATGAAAGATGTGATGTAAAGTGAAACAAGCCAGACTATGAAGGAGAGGCATTCTATGTCTTTCATGGGATTTTATAATAGATTGACTCTTACCAATAGAGAGAAAAGTCAAGGACACCTATAAGGTTTTCTATCAGAAAAACTAGAAAAGTGGATTTGCCTTTTTTTTTTCTTATAAGACAAAAGAGACTGGAAACTGGACATATTTGTGAGAGAAGGTGATGAGGTCAGCATCTCTAAGGTACCCTAGAGGAAAGACACTGTAGGTTTGGCTACATAAGTTTGGGATTCCAGGGAGGTATCTAGACTGAAAACATAAATTTGAAACCTATCAGTATGTACATGATATTTAAAACTATGAAGCTGGTGACAAAACCAAGGAGATGAAGTAGAAACAAGGACTCCAGCGTTAAAATACTGGGGAGACAAGGATAATTCAGCAAAGAAAACTGAGACTAAAAGGCTTTTGA